CATATTAACAATGAATCACACGACTACTTTTGTTGCTATGGAGAAAAACAGAGTGAGAGGCATGTATGAGCACTTCTGCAAATTAACAAAATGCACTGTTGTTGCTCGGGAACAAAACACAAACACCTGAACCATCCAAAACTGCCCGAGCAAATGTGATTTAAAATACTGAATGCATTATGAGGTTTCTTCACACTACAAGAAAGGGAAAACCCCAAAAAGCATTGTAGTATATTTAAAAGTGTGCCACATTAACAGGGCTCCGCTTCTTGACTCACACGTTAAAACCGCCCAAACAAAACTCGGCAGGCGCTGATTTCTTTGCCTTCCTTTAGCTGATTTATTTACTTCTTCCATAAGATTAAACAAAATGATCAGTGTAACATGAGGTCAAAGACTGTACCCAGCCCTTCCTTATATAACAGCTGATCATCTGATTGATCACAATAAATCCAAACTATTCTCAGAATATTTAATTTAATACATATTCATACATCGAAAAAAATATATATAGGCCTAAATTAATTAGAAAATTGTCATTTATAATCAACACAAAAAATGGCTCTAACAGGTTCCCTTTAAATGTATTCTGAGGCCAATAGTTTTGTACTTTTACACAGTAAGATTTTGAATGCAGTACTTTTACTTGTACCAGAGTACTTTCAGTATTACTTTTACTTTAAACTCTCCAAGTTTCTTTCTCCACTGGGTGTGTGTCCAATTAAAAAGCAACGTCAAAAATCACCCTCTTTAACTTAATGCAAAATGTGTGAGAGAGAGGAGGGGCACGAAAGAGGTGGAGGGGGTCATAAGGTCACTGCTCATATTGGGGATTAAGGGAGATGCTTATCTGCAGGGAGTGCACAATGGGGAGAGATAGCTGCTACAGTACACAGATACAGAGCGTTGTATCCTCAAGCTTTGCTTATCAGTGTTTTCATGGTTTCACCTTTCACTGAATACAAGCCAATCTCTTTCTCTCTTAGATAAAGTTGTATATCCACCAGGAGAAAGAGATATTATCTTTCATAGCAACTGCATTCATTTAAGATGAAAATAATTAATACGTACTTTGCTTTCTTCGGGAAACAGCGTTACAATCGGGGTAAAAATGGGATAAAAACATGCTGCCATAATTGGATAAATACCCAATTTTTTAAGATGATTTAACATCCGCTTTGTTACTGCATTTGTGGTGCATAAACATGGGAATAAAAGAGGAAAGGCTTATAAAAAGTAGTTTGTCTCCCTGTTGCACTCTGTGTCCATACGAGAGGGGAAAAAACATGAGTTAATTGCATTTTTTACAGACCGTCTCAAGTGGAAGCGGCTTAATGAGTTTAGGCAGCTCGCCTCATTGAGAATCGCAACTGCTCCTAATTGTGATCTCAAATATGCTCATAATCCCCTGATTTGACAGCGGCAGAGGTTTCTGGGGAGGCATTAAGGTGAAAGAAAGAGAACAAGGGACAGAAAGACAATTAGCGAGTAGAAAAACATGTGAGCGAGTGCAGCGGCTTAAGACATTTAGGTTTCAATAAACATCATGAATTATTTGAATGCTTTGTTTGAAGTCTGTAGTACGCTTTGAGTTCATGTTGAGTTTTACCTCCTGATTATTTGAGTGTTCGTGAGTGAAAATATAAATATTTCTCGCACGGTGTGAATATTTTTTTAGGTTGATTCTGTTTAAGTGTCCTCTTATTGCTCTCAGTGCCAAAGTGGCAATAGGCGCTTTCACACCAAGTACTTTTCCCAGGAATAGTTCCCGGAAATCTTTAGTTCCGGAACTATCTAGGGCGACTGTGGCTGCGAGGGAGTGCGGTCGTCTTTCAACCAGAAGGTTGTGGGTTCGATCCCAGCCCATGCAGTCAACATGTCGATGTATCCTTGGGCAAGATACTTAACCCTGAGTTGCTCCCGATGGCATGGCCAACGTTGTGTGAATGTGTATGAATGTTAGGTCCTATAGAGTAAGGAACACTGCTCTGTATGAATGGGTGTGAATGGGTGGATGACATGTAGTATGTAAAGCGCTTTGAGGGGTCTTAAAGACTGGATAAAGCGCTATATAAGTACAGTCCATTTACCATTTACCATCTAGTAAATCACGTTCACGGAATAAGTCCCTGACGGAGGATTACGCAAATGAAGCCGCTGACGTCACTTCTTCTTCTTCTGCTTTGGGTTTACTGGCAGGCCGCAAACAACTTCACGGCGTATACTGCCACCCGAAGTCCCCGGCCGGAAAATCGCCTGAACGCCGATACATCCTCATCACTCCACCGCTCCCATGTTTTTTTTTGTGTTGCCATAAGTTAGTCTCTCTCCGTTGGTGCGCTGGGCTAATCTAATGCTAATGCTAGTAATGCTAATGCCAGCAAATACAATGGTTTGCAATTCGCCCAGCCAATCAGAAATTGAACCTTTTCCTCCCCAGGAAAGTACCACCTCTCTAGCCAACACACTCTCACAGTCTGCGTACAAATGAAACGACTTTGCAAAGGCGTGCAATAGATACGCAGCAGTCCGATTTTGCGTGCATATGATACGCTGATATTGCACCTCAAACATTAAAACAAAGAGCTCTGTGGCTTCAGGCTTGATCGCCGTTCCAATTACAGTTTTAATGTTTGCGGTGCAATAAACGACACAGCAGCTTATTGGGTTATGGTTAGGGTTAGGGTTAAATAAATGGCAAAGATATGTAGAAAATAAATTCATTTAAGATACGTTCATAACAAACGTAACGTGGGAGAAAATTGTAGAAAAAAAAACGTAACGTGGGAGTATCATATGCACGCAAAATCTGACTTCTGCGCATCTATTGCACGCCTTTGCAAAGTCATGTAATTTGTACGCAGACTGAAGAGAGTGGGCTGCTCTAGCAGGGACTAAAAAGGGGTGAAAAGGTTAGCAAAAAAAAGTTGTAGTTCCAGATCTTTTTGGTGTGAACGCAAAATCCCAGGAACTATCGGAACTATTCCCCGTACTTTTCCCGTTTACTTCCGATAGTTCCTGGGATTTTGCATTCACACCAAAAAGAGAACTTAGTTCATGAGAACTTTCCCCCCTTTTTAGTGCCTGCTAGAGAGGTGGTACTTTCCTGGGGAGAAAAAAGTTCCAATTTCTGATTGCCTGGGCGAATTGCAAGCCACGCCCCGTAAAACTCTGAAAAGTTGCTGCTGGGAGTCCCAGCATCTTCTACTGAAGCCAGTCCCCAACTCCGGGGACTTCCGGCCGGGAACTTCGGGTGGCAGTATACGCCCTGAAGTTGTTTGCGGCCTGCCAGTAAACCCAAAGCAGAAGAAGAAGTGACATCAGTGACGTCAGCGGCTTCATTTGCGTAATATTCCCTCAAGGAACTTATTCCGGTGTGAACGCGATCGGCTCTTCCATTGGGGAACTAAATGCTGGGAACTAAGTAAGGCAAAGTACTTGGTGTGAAAGCGGCTAATGGTTTGCCCACATGGTACTGAGCTGTTGTGGCAATAGCTGTGTTATCAGTATCAGCAGCTTGTCAAATGATCTATGAAGTATTTGTCTTTGTAGAGACATCAGTTATGATGTTTGCAGGGTTTCTCTGGGTTTTAAGGGTGAGTACAGCCTTTACAAATCATTTTGTAGACTTACGGTTAAGCTTTAGATACTCCTTTCTCTGTCTGACACTCCTATTGTATAAGATAGCAGGGGAGAGTCGATAACCCCAGTCTGTTCAAAGATTGTGATACATCTCTCAAAACACCAGATCAAAAAGGGTCGAATGGGGAAGCTTTGAAGTCATGACCAGGAGGCAGTTGACGGCCTAAGATAAAACCAAGGAGGACATTTGCCCCTCCCCCGACAGCCAATCAGTGTGTTTTCTCTTACCAAATGGCTCTCCTTCCAAATAAACATGCTTAGACTTAGAAAGTCTCTGACTAGGGCCAAAGACACTTCCAACAGTCCGAATCTGTCCGACTCTTTTGTAAATTAAGTTGGTGTGAGGTATAGTGGAAAGGTGTTGGATGTGTTTTCTTTATTGATGCATCCAAATTATTGCTATCTGCACAGACTTTGTGATCCGACAGAAAGGTCAGAATGTAGAACTTACATAGGCAATACAACAGTGTGGGCTACCTGAGTAAATGCATTGTAATTGTAAAGTATTACTGATCAATCTCCTGGTATTTGTAAGGTGATCTGTGTATTGATCTGTTATTGTAATTGTTGGTGTGATAGAGACAATGCTATGTTTTTAGTGTCCGTTCATTGTGTACCTGCACAAATGGAAATAAGCTAATGGCAATTTATGGTCCTGCACTTATAATAGTAATTCATTTTGTGACATGATTCCCTTTACCTCCACTTGTCTTCAGTTACTGCACCAGTTGTTTTCCCTTCATTTATCACTGTTGAGAACTCCCCTGTCCAGCAGAGATTTCACCTTGACTTTGTTATTCAGCCACCGTCCTGTGCCAAAACTGCACCAAATGACATCGGGACGTAAACAGCGAGGTCATCTCTGACAAACCCTCTGCAGGGCACAAATGAACCGCTGTTGAGTCAGTCCTGTGGCATGCTTTCGAGTGCTGTGAATCACACAAATATTTCCCCTTATCATACAGTCTCCACCAGCAATGTTTCACCCTGTGTCCCCTCCAGAGGCAATGTGGATATTTCAACTCTCAACATATGTTTACTGAGGCGACTGTTTCAATGAAAGCGTGGACAACAGAAGGACAGATGGTGGGGTTAACTTGCTGTGTTTCTAGTGGCCAGTGTCTACACTTTAATGCTTGAGGATGCATCGATGGAGCTTTGACCTTCGTGGTCACATGGCTGCAAGGGCTGTCAAATCCAAAATGTGACGTGACTTAAGGCAATCGGACAGCTTCAATATGTGTCCAGTGCACCCGAAAGCAAGTCAGGCTGTAAGCTTGAAACACTGTGCTCGTGTGAAAGCCAATCTTTTTTTATATGTTTGTCTAAAAACATGTCTGTCTTCTGTGTCTCCTCAGAATGAAGAACAAGCTCTGGTACTTTGAGTTCGGCACCACTGAGACCATATCTGCCACCTGCAAGAAACTCAACGAATGCATAGAAGTGGAGGTGAGTTCAAGTCTGGAAATCTTTGAATTATCACAAAGCACTGGCACACTATCAAATGTACTCTCTGTATTTAACCCATCCTACTACTTGGAGCAGTGGGAGCTATTATATTCACACAGTTCACATTTCGTATTTGAACATTCAGGAACCGTTTCTCAAGCCAAGCCTACAGACTGAGACTTCCAAAAAGATGGAAAATATATTTAAATACCCGAGAATATATATGATGCAAAAGAAAAAGTAAAATATGGAACATGTTGTGTACACTACATGTCAAGATTGTTGTTTTTTCCACCGTTTTACTGACAGACTCTTAGATGCTGTTGTTCTCTAATGTGTTGCAGATATTCACAACAAAGTAGTTTTCTCATATTAATAAGGTGGGCTATTTATAGTACACCATCAGATTAATGCTCCATAAAGTTACTGATTGCCTCATTCTGTCAGACGGCGCAGTATAATCTGTCACCATGGTCGCTTGAAGCACAGCAAGACTCAGAGAAAACACTCACCGTTTCAAAAACAATTGGGAAAATAGCGAACAACCTGTCTCCATATGTTTGAAAAAGCACATTTTTTGAATTGTTTTACATTTTTTGTTGAAATATTTAGGATTTCATTAGCTCAAGTTAATGAATTTCCTTTATTTCTTAAACATTCAACTTTGCATTCCTCTTTATTTATCTTATTGTCGGAAAACACAAACAGAAATGTTTTTGAAATTACTTTTCAATGGTAGATTAATCCACATATACATGGTGCTCTAGTGGTATGCAATTGACATTAAAACATAGTATTTCTCATTGCATTATGTGAGATGATCCCGTTTAAAACTTAAAAAATTTATTTATGTTACTTCCTGCAAAGTTACCATGGCCTATTTATCTAACACTCAGACTCAGCAGAGAACCAATAATCAAGTAATTTTCCTTTTCACGCAAGTACACAGGCTTTCAACCATGCTCCCGTTTTGACGCAGAATTTGTCAGCCTGATTGAATCTCAAGGATTTATAAGCCTAGTCCTCTTGACTGAGGGCAGTTTTCTAAAAAGACACTTGGATTGTATTTTATCTGACTCAGAAAAACTTGTATGTTGTGACTAACACATTATCCTGGAACCCATCAGTTATGGTTTCTCTTTAAAGGCTTCTATACGTACTTTCTGAAACGCTCTATACTGCTGGTGGTGAAACAGCTCTTTCCTGAGAATACACTGACGATGATGACATGTGTACCGCTCAGAGAGTTATTGTTTCCATGTAAGCTCATCATCTCTAAAAAGAAACTGAGGGACAACTGTGTAGGCAGGTAGCAGATCATAAGGGGGGTCATGTGACGTGCACAGGCAGGAAACTTTTTGGAGGGCACCTAGTGAGAGGTGCTAAACCACCGGGTGTAGAAAATAAACGCCAGGTGACAGTAGGGAGGGTTAAAGTGAAGGTGTTGTCTTCACAGCTTTTACTGTGAAGCAGCTGCATTAATTGTTGGGCTTGTATTACTATGACCTCAACGAGGGAGGACAGACCTAACACATTTAACAGTGAAGTGAAGCTACTGTTTGTGAGATAAGTCCTAGGAGACCGTTGATCTTTACATGCCCTTAAGTTTGCCCTTCTAACATGCAATCACATGCATGTTAGCATGCTACTTAGCCACATAGATAGAACATTTCCAGCTACCAGTCATATTTTCTTTCATGCAAGTTAATTCATTATTTTACAGCCAAAACTAGGGGACATTTTCTTGGGAATCTAAATTATTATGAGGGCTGTTAAAATAAGTTGGTCGGAATATTGAATCACTTGTTAAGGCCAGGGCTGCCAACACTCACGCATTGAGCGCGAGAGTCACACAATTAACCCATATCTCACGCACTCACGCCACACTTGCCTTTTCTCACGCTAAGTTTTCGTCCAAAAATAAATGTATATAAATATAAAAATAAAGTGAAGGAACAGCAAACCGAGCAGTCTACGAAATGAGACGGTCTTCTGGCTTCAGTAAAGTTGGAACGATATTGGGAGATTCTGATTTCACGGATCAATAACTCATTAACAAAACGTTATTCAGAAACAAATGACGTCTCCTAAGTACCGTGGTGAGGTTGAAAACGAACTACAATCACATTTTGATTAAAAAAAAAGCCAATACGCGCCGCCCTCCGAGCTGGACACATTACATTGGTCTCTATTTGCAGCCGGAGAAGAAACGAGTGCTCAGGGACCGTCTGCTGTGTGCAACTCCGAAAAAAGAGAATACAATAATATTCAATCACTATTATACAGCTTATTACTGCCAAACTCACTACACACACATCAATAGTCTCCTGGTGGTCATACTACAGTAGAGAGTTTTGAAGGATATGCTTTTGAATAATTTTGGGGAATATTTATAACGTAAATCTTCAATAAATATGGCATCATCTTAAATAACTTTTCTATTATACAGTATATTTCTACCAAACTCACTATTTGCATTGTTGTTGTTAGCATCTGGTTAGCTAGCTGCGCTAACGGTAAAGCTGTTTCTCAAACAATGAGAGGGAAAGCTCTCTCCTGTCAGGCTGAGAGAGATAACTACAGCTCAGTGAGGTAAGCAACTCTGTTTAGATAGTTAACTTTAGTCTAGTTATCTCAGTGGGTCTCAAACGTTTTGGTCACCATTTATGAGAATAAATGAAAAACAGTTATGAAATACTATGACAGTAAAACAAGAATAAAGAAATGAGTTATTTGTAAAATATCCATAAAGAAAAAGAAAATCTGTTTACAGTTCTGTTTCATATGGGTGTTGAGAGCTGTATCCTTAAATTCATTTTGCTCTCAAAGTGCGCCAGGTTGATGCATTTAACTTCAATATTTATCACTTGTAAAATAGCACTTTACCTCTGCTTAGACCTATATGCCATTTTATATGCTGTGAGCTTATTATCGAGCCTTCATTGTAAGAGTCGCGGGTACACTGTGTATGTGCGCGTATTCCACTGGAGCGCCCGGTACATTAAATGGAAACCCTAGTTTGTACATGTTCAATACATGTATAACACTGTACACATGAACGTTTCTTTCTTCGGATCACCAAAAAAGAAATCTCACTCCAAGCTGAACTCAAATGTTGGCAGCCCTGGTTAAGGATAGGTAGGCTACGGACAACTGCAGTGTGAACACTTCTCCAAACACTTTATAGAGCTGTTCAATATCAGGCTGCTATGTGTTATGTAGTTTTCCACACATGCACACACACACACATTATGCTGCTTTGACACAGCAAGAATCAACCATGCATGCTGAGTCACAGCAATGTGTTGCTGCAATTCTCCGTTTGACTTATCTGATGAGTCTAGACGAGGCTATGAAACACAATATCATTCAGAGTTAGGCCAAGAGTGTACATATCATAAAGTATGATTCGACATTCGGCCAATTTATATGTATTACCTCCACCAAGGGCGTTGTGTTTGTGGTTTGCTGTGTTGCTCGGTTTGTCTCTCAGAAGGATTACAGAAAAACCACCAGTCAGATTTTCATTTAACTTGGTAGAAGGGTATAGCCTTAGACAAATTTGGAGCAGATCTGAATACAAACTGTTTTTACTTGCCTTGAAAAGGCCTCGATGGAGGTCTGTGCGCTCTGAATGCCCTTGTAGTTGCTTTCGGCTTCAGACAACCGCACATCTGGCCTCTGTCCAAGTAATGCGTCAGGGAAAAAATAAAACTTGCTGGTGTGAAAAGGGAGTACAAGCATGGGTATCTAACTCTATGATACAGCACATATTACACTGCAACCCTAATCTCTATGGCGTCCATTACCTTAGATGTTAAATGTAGCTATGTCACTCAGGGGCAGAGGTCGCGTTAACCGAATATTTTCCGTCTATGACAGATTTCTTTTAACAATGACGGAAAAATCTGAAAGTAGTCCGTCATTTTGACAAATTAGAACAAACTCGGAACAGCGCCAAATTTTCCCCACAGCGAGGCTCCGGTGTTATGCCGTGTTAAGCATACCCGCCAACAAGGAAATTATATAGTTTCCAAACCTGACTTTGCCGTACAAATCATTGAAATGTCTGAGTTTTGGCATACGCTGTGCGCGCTCCCGCGAGGTGCAGTGGGCATGCATAACACGGCGCTAACAGCTCATGAGGGTGCGCCCCCCCCACCCCCGTTGACAGTTCACGAGCGTGCTCTCCCCCCCCCGCCCCCACGTCAGAGTTGTGTGAAGCCTGTGTGAAGCCCGACGGGTAATACTGGATTTTGACGGGCTGCGAAAAAGTCAAGCGCAACCTCTGCTCAGGGGAAATCATGTACATGCTCTGTGGTTTCCTGGTGGCAGAAAATATTTTTGCATTTAGCTGGTCAGTAAATGTCTATGCTAATAACTAAGTTTCTTATTTCTTATATTGAATCACAGGTCAATGCCAACAGAGGTGAACAAAATAAGCTGCATGAGCTTTGTTTGACCTAATTAGATTTGTTGAGCTATACACAAAGCAGCCAATCAGAGACCCCCAGAGAGCTAAAGCTGGGGGCTTGACACTTCTGGCAGAAGAGAAGTGGAAGGGCTAAGCTGTAAAGCAGCATTGATTTCAGTGACGGCAGTGAGACAAAACGGGTAATGTGATTACATACAGTAGGCCTACAGCTAAGTTGACCAGTAGACGCCAGAAGAGCCTGTGAACAAATCCCAGTTAAACGATTAAATAATAACCCAGGGTGTAACTGGTGCTGCTGTGTCATCTTACGTCAACAGAACATGTGAATCCTGCACTCTTTACCTTAAAAGTAGAATTGTCAGACCCATTTAACAATGTGGTTTAACAAAAGTTTTAATTAAACAATGTCAGCCCGTGTTTTATCTATTCATAGTTACTCTTGTGACTGTAAGGTTTGGAAACTAGAGAAATGTAAGAATACGCATCAAAGCTCATGGCATTTGACAGTGAAATGCATTGAAAGGAACAGAAGGAATGACTTTACCAAAATAACTTCGCCAATAATATGATTTCTATACAGATGGAAGCAACACATGGTGGATCATATGAAACTGGCTAATACCATATCCTTGTATCACAAGTTATTACATTTCATGTTCCAGACTTCTGTTTGAAATCCCGGAAAATACTATACTCATCACCATCCATCTTTCCTCCTGGAGAATGTTGCTGCTGTTCACCCTCATCGATCACACTCACTTACCATCCACCCTTCTTTCAACCTCTTTAGCTTTACTCCCTCTACCTTCCTTTACCTTCCTATCTATCTCCCCCCACTCCAGCTGTAGGGGTCCTTGACCTTGTGACCCCTACAAGAAACCCTTTTGACCCTATTCCCTCTTCTCTGTTACTTCTCACCTCCTGCACTTTGTAAGCAGCATATCGCAATTCTCAGGATATGTTCCTAGTCCTTTCATAAATGACAGACCTGTATCTCTTTTATTTGTATTTCCAAGACATTAAAATACAGTTTTAACCAACTTTTTGCGTTAAAACTCAACTGAGAAGAATAATTTTTAACTGACCGAAGCTCTTCGTTCTGTCAGAGCCAACTGAGTCTTCTGTTTTTAAAACGTATACACTAGACTTGTAGGCTGCACAGTGAACAACCAGTTCCTCTTCTCAACCTTGAAAAGATTGAGCGTATCAGGCTCTGCACTGACAACTTGCTCATGGAAACCGTTTTATTTCTAATAACAGGAGTTCCACAAGGCTCCATCATGGGCCCTCTACCCTTCCATATCTGCACAGGAATACTTAATATCCCTTCGTTTTTCTTGATATACTGGCATGGCTTAAATGCTATGCTGATGACACCCAGCTATTCGTGTAATTCCCCCATCAACATTCAGGTGGAGGCAAACTTTTCTGGATTGATTGTCAAGGCACCACCTCAAACTCAACCCTGACTAGTCTGGGCTTGTGTTCCTTCCGGAGAAAGGGTTCATTCACCTCAGTCCATCACCATTAACAACACCACGGTGGCCTTGACCCTGTCAATCAAAATGATGTTGTCGACAAACATTGCAGCAGTCCTGCTCAGTTCCTCCTTTACATCAAGAGGACTAACAGGGGAGGAGTCCAAGGTGCTGATCCAGCTGTCAGCCACTAGGCCTCAGCGGCTGATACAAAATGCTGCTGCTTGCCTTGTATTCAACCTTTCCAAATGTTTTCACAATACTCAAATTCTCCCTGAAATACACTGGCTGTGTTGCTGTTTGCATCCAGTTCAAGAACCTGCTTTCCCCCTAAAGCTATGGTCAACCACTACATCCCTGCCAGTGCATTGGGCTCCTTTGCCTTTAGACATTTAGATGATCTTTTTCTCACAAATCTCGGTCCTTTGTTCTGAGCTGCGGGCTACAACCCAACTTGTTATAGTGTACAACTCAATACCCATTGCTAGCATTTACGTACAGTATCTCTTGTTTCTTTTAGAACATCTCAAACACGTATTTGTTTCAAAGGGATACACTCACAAATGTGGATAATATCTCACTCTTGTTTCCACTTGGTTTGAGTATTGTAAGTGGTTTTGGACAAAAGCGTCTGCAAACTGAATCTAATGTAATATATAACCTTGCATTTGTGATCCTACAGCTTCAGTGCACAAACGGGGGCATAACTTTATGTATTATGTGTTTTAGCTGCTCCTGTCCTATATGTTTTTTCATTGTCCTTATCTTTCTGTCTTACTCTATTTTCTCTGAATTTTCTGCTCAGTGCGACGGTATCATCTTGGACCTCAGCAACACCTCCTTGGAGGGCATAGCTGTGCTCAACATTCCCAGCATGCACGGCGGCTCCAACCTGTGGGGCGAGTCGAAGAAGAGGAGGAACTACAGCCGCATGAGCAAGAAAGTTCCCGACCGGATGCCAGCCAGCACCGTCACGGACGCAAAAGAACTCAAATTCTGCATGCAAGGTGAGTCAAAGCAGATGAATGACGACTGTGCAATTTCAACTTTGCATCATGAACGAGGCAACAGTGTGTTTGGTTATCAAACAAATACTATTAAATGTATTTCAGCCACAGTATTGTAAAAACCAAGCAAAGATTTAGAGATGTCAATATGTGCTCTTTTTAGGCTCTTCTTTGTATCCGATCAGAGACTAGTGCAATCAAGACAGACTACAACGTTAAAAAAAACCTGACGTGGTCTCTATCTGACTTTAATCTTACTTCAACTCAAGCCTGGACTATTATTACTTGTACAGCTAGTGGTTTATTATTACCAATATGACCTCTGCCTGCATGCAGTGCTGCTCGTACGGTGACTTTCTCTTCACACAGTCCCAGCTGAGAGTGACTAATTCAACCCTTAGAATCTGTTCTACATTCACAAAAAAATCATATTTTTAGACTCTAACAGGGTCAGGCGGTGCACCACCACTATAATACCACCATGGGAAACCCTGCACTATAGTTTGAGTGATGTGATTTTAAATCAAGGTTATAACCAAAGTAATCAGCCTCTGCAGGGTGTCTGGTTCCTGAATGTGTGGCAGCAGCTTGTTTTTGGTTCAAACTGAATATAGCACAAGTGTGATTCATATTACTACCTTCTATTCACTTCTCTCTGCAGCTATGATTGACTTAAAATGTACTTTACTCAATGGTAGTTTTTCGTCCTCATGAGAGAAACCATTTTCCAGTCAGGTTTTCAAAATGCCTACATTACCTTGTTGTTGCCTACATGTAGGTACATAATGTTTATTTCTTAATCAGACATCCTTTTAATTTATTCTCTAATCTACAAAACAGTATTATTTTTCTAATTTACTTCCCACTGCTAACCATCTGCTTATGTTTTCAACTCTCCCAGTGTGTCACTCCATCACAGCTGGGCCTTTAGGCGCGTTCACACCAAGTACTTTTCCCAGAAAGATTCCTGAGAACTCTTTAGTTCTCATGAACTAAGTACAGATCGCGTTCACACCGGAATAAGTCCCTGGGGGTGGATTAGGCAAATGAAGCCGCTAACGTCACTTC